TTTCATGTATCAATGCTGAAGAAGTACATACGAGGCCCGTCTCATATTCTTGAGAAACCACCGGTAGAGATCCGTGAGGATTTGCAATATGCGGTAGAGCCGGTGAAGATAGTAGGTCAACAAGTGAAGAAGCTTAGGAACAAGGAAATTCCTATGGTAAAGGTTCTGTGGAGAAGTGATCGGGTCGAAGAAGAAACATGGGAGACCGAAGTCTCAATGAGGGAGCAATACCCATTTCTTTTCGATTAGACACATGGATTTCGGGGACGAAATCCCAAATAAGGGGGGGTGAACTTGTAACACCGTCCCCAAATGTATTTACTTTTAAGTAAATGATGTAATAAACCTTATGGAATGATTTATGAATTTACGAAGTTGTAAATTTTTAGTATTTCTTTCGCGTGAATAGTAAATTGCACGTGGGACCCACATCGGGAGCGGGGACCACCCAACTTTCCCGAGACCACATATTTTATTCATCTTGGTCAAGATAATATTTATATGGTGGTGGATATTTCATTTGGGTCGTGGAAAGGCCCAGAGTTGACCGATGAGGCAAAATAGGCCCAAATACCGGTACCGACAATTTATCAGAAACAGCCCGGAAATGAATTTCGGAGACTTCTAAATTTACGCTTTGGAATATATATTATTTCAAAAGGACATTATGATTGAGAACACGTAATATATTTTATTTGACCCGATAAAATAAAATATACTTAAAACAGTCCGAAAAATACAACTTTCGGGGCCGAATATACATTTCGGGACACAAAGGGATGACCTCCCACATGGGTGGGGGCCACCCCACGTTTTTTTGTGCTCAAATTGACTAAATGAAAGCTGGTAGTACACTTGATGGGAGGGTGAGACAATTGGAGACATCAAAGGGGTCCCTCCCACCCTTATTAGCTAAATGGAACAAAAAGAACCCATCCCCCTCTTCCCTCATCATTGTACTTGGCCAAGGCATCAAGGAGAGGAAAGAGAGAGCTCTCAAACCAGCTTCCATTGTTGCAGCACGAGCTCAAGGAAAAAGTGGTCCAAAGGAGAGGATTAAAGAGGAAAAAAGTGGGGAAAAGTGTGAATAATTAAGGTAATGACCTTATTATAACTTCTCCTTTATTTTTTCTTCTACCATATGAGGTATATATCATGTGGACGACCCTTAGTATGGTTCCACATGTTATAAGTATGGATTTATGGGTTGGAAGATGGTTCCACGTCCAAAAACGGACTTAGAAGCCAAAACGTCCGGTTCACCGGAAAATAACCTTTTAGAGGTTATTTGTATTAATATGAGTTTTATGATTATAAAACCTTGTTAGGCACTTGTAAAGGGTATTTCAAGTGATTTCACAAATTTGGAAAAGTCGTCGGAGTTGGCCGGAGTTGACCAAAAATCGCCCGAGTTTCACCGGAGTTCAACCAAGAGGGGTAGAACTTCATAACGCTAGTTCAAGGTGAGTGGACGGCTTAATATCTTATAACTTATGGGTTAATTATGAGATTACCTAAATAAATGTTATATGTGCTCATAATGATGTTTAAAAGATGTTTAAACATGTGATTAGCCAACACGGTTAAGTTTGTATAAGAGAAATTTAATTGTTTATGCATGGAATATGATATGAAGAATCATATAAAATGCACATTTGTTTGAAGTGTAAAAGAAGCACAAATTAATATTATTAACTTAATTATATGATGATTAAGTTGATATGTACAAGGCTTGAAATGGCGGTCAACGGCAACGTTGACCGATGGATAATGGATTAATTAATATCGGTTGATATTAGTTAATTATAAATTTATGTAAATGCATGGCTTTGCATGGATTGTGATACATAAGCTTTATGTATTGAATTAGTAATGAATGACTAAGTATGATATAGACTCTATCTAGGTTGATAGGAGGTTGATCATAGGATTATATTTTGGTGGAGGACCCTAGGGCTTACAAGTCCTTAACACTCATATTTTGGTGGAGGACCCTAGGACTTACAAGTCCTTAACACTCATATTTTGGTGGAGGACCCTAGGACTTAAAGTCCTTAACACTCGGGTTATAAATTGGTGGAGGACCCTAGGACTAAAAGTCCTTAACACTCAAATATAAATTGGTGGAGTACCCAGGGATTATGATCCTCAAAACTCATAGATTATGATATTGAAATAGGGACAAGGATGAGTCCTATACACTCATAGGTATATGGGTGGGTTGGGGTTTTTAGTCAAGAATATTGACTATTACTATTTTCCCAAACAAAACAGTGATCTACGGATCGGGTATTTTCCAAGTGTATACATACTAGTAAGTATTTCTTATCTTGGGGAAAAGACTATTTACATAACTATCACCCTATGTTTGGGTCTTATACTTGAAACGCTAGTTATTCTATATTTAGCTTGCTACTCGCTCGGTACTTGTACTGACCCTTTCGGGGGGGCCACCATTTTCAGGTTGAAGCTAGGGCTTGCTACCTGCACCTTCTTACGGGTGATATCAACTTCAGGAAGACGTGGTTCGTGCTTCCTTATTTTCTTTCAAACTACCGAACACATGCTCATGGATATTTGTTCTACTATAAACTATTTTTGGGGCTTGCATGCTCATGTTGTTGGCCGGTTGTGGCTTATGACTTACCGTTAAATATTTCCGCTATTCATTGGTTTAAATGTGATGTTGTTATGTATGTTTACTACTGAGTATGAATGGATTATTTTCTCGAACGCCTTGTGTAATTAAGTGAGGTTGACTCGCGGGTGACGTCACTTAATTATCCGGCGGTTGTACACGCGCTTGGATTGCGGTCTTGGGCGTTAACGAACCGAGCTTTTATCGAACTATTCGAGTTCGAGCTTGGTTTCGAACCTAACGAGCCGAGCTTAACGAGCTTTCGAACTCGAACCCGAGCTGGGTTTTAAGTTCAAAAAATTAATCGAGCCGAGCTCGAACATAGTAGTATTCGGCTCGGTTCGAACTCGAGCCTATCGAACACCCTGAAATTATAAATATAATTTATATATAATCAAAATTTAAATATAATTAGTATGAATTTATGAATTTAAATATGATTATTAACGAACCGAATACTTGTCGAATCATTCGAGCACGAGCCTATTAACAAGTGTCACCTAAAATTTTAAATTCGACCATATTTTTCGAGCTCATCGAGCGCTCGGTTCGAACATCGAACGTCTGTCGAGCCAAACACGAGCCTCATTTGTAAAGCTCGCCGAGCTTCGAGCTCAAACCCGAACACCATTAATTCTTTATCGAGCCGAACTCGAGCTTTAGGTGTTCGGGCTCGGGTCGGCTCGTTAACAACCCTAACTGGGATATGCATTGTGGTGAATTTCTTTTACTTTTAAAAAAGTTGATGAATTTTTAAATTCAGACTTTTTTATGAATGCAATCTATTGAGTATTGACTTTTAAATCCATGAATAAGTTTATAGACTTTCAAAAAATCCATAGACTTCTATCTAGATCGTCATTACCGATCTGTCTGAATCTCGCCGCCGTTCGCCGCTGTCATCAGAGTTCTCCGCCACTGTCATCGGTCTGATCCGCCACCAACAAAATGATTTTGGTTATGTAAGGGCACTATGGGGCTATTAATTATATTAACTAATTAAATTAATTAAATTATGGGTAGAAATGTAATGCTTAGTCCTATTTAAAAAAATCAAACATATGATCATACTTTGAGAAGAATGCTATGTTTTAGTCCTAGTGTGGATAATTTTCTTCGTATATAATATGATAACATACAATTAAATAAAGAAATGAAACAAATGTAATTCATCTAGTCATCCAGAGTTCTACAAGAATATATGAGACATAAGCACCCAAATTTATTTTTATTAATAGGAAAACTCAAAATTTCGAGGAATGTTTAACAAACTCGGTCTCTTTATGATCAATTGTTATACTCTGTATTACACAACTCAATGAATAAGAACACTAATCACTACAAAAGCATTACACTCATTGCTACATGTAGTACGGACATAGGTACAATCAGATTTTTTCTGAATAATTATTGTTTCTTTTCATTTTTCGCTTGTTTAAATTTGTTTACCTATTTGTGATTAATTATTTTATTAATCTGAAAATAATATTTTTATTTGTTAACGGTTTAACGATAAAGCACAATAATGATTAATTTTCTCACTCTTAATGGTTAAGTGACATTGTGACAACATACCAGAATTGCACCGATATACTACTATTGATTTTTATAACGGTTCTTCCATAGAGTTGAATTGATATTGGACTAACAGTTCTTCAAATGGTTCCCTACAATTTTCTTTGTAAGACGATATATCAAAAATATTTTTTTTTAGTTTATCCTGTGAAAAAATATTAATGTAGAATCTCCTTGTTCAATTTTATTTATCGAAAAATGATACTCCCTCAATCCATTTAAGATTATCCCATTTTCATTTTCAGAAAATCCCACTAAGACCGTCTCATACCAAATTTAGTAAAGTTTGTATGACTCTAAATCATTTTTATTTTATTCTTATTTTATCAAGTTAGTATCAATCACATAAACTCACTTTTATTAAAAATAATGTCACCTCTCATGTCACAATGTTAATCGGACGAAGATAGTAAAAAATATGAAAATTTCATTTTCAAATCTTGCATATTTAGACCATCCTAGTACCCACCTCCCGACCTAGCCAGTACTAGTCCAAGACTAGTTGGCCGTTTTTTTATCTTAGATAAATAATTAGTCAAATCCAGTGTTATTCTGCGAGCAGATTTATGCGTACTTATGACGAGTAAAAGGCAACACAAAAGTCTATAGAAATCTCCGGTGAAAAGAATAGACAATAGTAGAGAATTAATGTACTAAGAATTGACTTAAAAGTCCACGAGAATGTAGAATTTTAGAAGTCAATATGAATGAACGAAAGTTTGAATACACCTAGACTTTTTTAGACTTTTAAAAGTCTTCATTGAACACAGCTAGACTTTTAAAATCCATTGACTTTCAAGATTTTGCCACTAATTCCTAATACAATACACATGAGGAAGAGTCGTATCACAAATTCACAAGGCAACTTTTATAATTTTCAGAAGTATAGAAGTATTGCATTACATTATTCAGATCCTCCAAACTTGAGCAATTAATTACAAAGCAATAGGAGGAAGACTCTATCACAAGGAGTGACAGACAAAAAGACTAATGCCAGTTTGCTCCCCCCCCCCCCCCCCCCTCTATCTATGCATATACGTGCATGCAAATCGGTTACACTTGTGGGAAGGGCTTGCATCATCTAATCTACTCTATACCGGTTTGTGATCATTTGATTGCCCAACCCCTTCATCTCCTCTTCATTCTTTACCGATTTCGATCATTTCATGGTCAACCACTGAACAAGAAACTCAAGTGTTAGTGTCCACTAATCTACAACCAGAAGGGGCTATTTTATAGTAAAAGAATAATCAACCGAGCACTTGGTTTCACACGTGGAAGATCATAAAGCATAACATTGAATGTATACCGTTAATAATTAGCAGAAAATATTTTGACTCTATTCGATATCCTTTACAGCGTCCTGCATCAGACAGAATGTTAAAATGAGATTCTTAACAAAGACATAATCTAAATTGTGTTTTTAATTTAGGGATGAACGCGTTTACCTTAGCGAGCCGCGTTATATAAGCTGCAGCTGCTGCAGTTAATAGTAGGCCTAATCCAAGGGTCAAAACACCCTTCCCTCCTCCTAGGGCAATCTCAGACCCATCTTGCTGCTCAAAATAGTACCATATGTTGGGGTTTGTTCGTGGCATAAAATTTATAGCGTCTATATTAATTGTCTAAATTCTAAAACTATTAATGGATTTTGTTTGTGGCATGAAATTTATAGCGTCTATATTACTTGCCTAAAGCTATTCATGGGCACATTATTAGTTTCAGAAAATAGAGCACCAAATAGCAATATTGTAAAATGCGATTAGTCAGGAGTCAATGTTAGTTAAGTGGGATCTAGGTGATATTAGGAATTGTTATTAAAATTTTGAATACACTACTGATTCTATTTTAAATAAGATATACTTAGTATTGGAATAGACTATCAGAAAGATTCCGACCAAGCAACAAAATACCAGATTCATATTCCAGTGAAGAAAATCAGTAAATATCACAACCATTGATGTCGGACCACAAAGATTCAGACCAAAAGATCAGATCAAATCATGTTATTCATTTGAGGCGGAGAAAAAATCTTTAGGCGGGGCCTAGTGCCTAGCTGTCTAAGTGGAAACTTTTAAGTACAATATTGAGCAGGTGCACAGTCACTCGACTCACTGAGGCTGCAAGAAAATGCCTCATTGCAAAATAAGTAAACACACCCACACTGCAAGGAATAACATCTACACATAAATAAACGAAAAAACTGAAGCAATTACTTACAACAATTGCACGGCCTAATGCAGCTGCACTCACATAAGCCCATGTGCCAGGTAGCATACCTAACCAACTGCATGTAAATATTCAAGTGATTGTCCAAGAAAAGATTCATAACACCTAAGAGTTAGGATACCCATAAGGGGACTTCAAGGTAGCATAAGATTCAAAACTCCTGATTTCTGAAAATACTTATCACTCTTTGTTACACATGCATGAAGCAAAGATGAACACACATGAGTTCTAAATCATGAAAGAGCACGACACCAGATGGGTTGATGCAGCCACTTTATGATAAAACAGTCTTTCAACTTTTGCATGTCAATTAACATCTAAACACTAACCAAATATGTAAATAATAATTATCACAATCTTATAATGGCAATAAACATGGATGAGTTCCAGGGCTTTAGCTATAATCTGATAGGTACTCAGATGTTGTAACAGTAAATTGATCAGTAATATTGCTGTAAAAGGCAGAAACGAGGAAGACGATACAGATGAGGCACTTCGAGAGGCACTCGACTCTCCAAAAACGATGTTCCCAAAATCCAAAATCTGACTAACGACCCCTTTTCTACCCTTCCCATTCTTATAGTTATTATATCCTAACAGGCCAGCCCACATTTTAAGACATGGCCCGGGATTCTTATTTAAACAATACCATACTTATTTAATATCAAACTATAACTACTATTATTATTCTCTACTGCCCAGGGCCCTATCATAATGACAATGTATATGCCAAGTGAACTTCATTATCATACAAGTTTCTTAAAAATTACCCAGGACACTTCTTTCCACTTAAGTGCCATTTGCACTAAAATTTTGCTACTCATAAATCAAAACAATCATGCCATGATAAATTAAAAACAAAACATGTTCCGGGATCATTGAAATTGTAAACAGAATCACAGACTTTTAGGACATAATAATGAATAGGAAACAGACCTTCCTAAAACATATGGTACGAACTTAACAGAAGTAAGCCCATACAAATAATTCCCAAGAGAAAATGGAAGCAAAGGGCTCAGTCGGAGAAGAGTAACAACTTTAAAACCATTCTCTCCAATAGCATTGTCAATGGCAAGAAACTTCTTGTTCCCTTCAACTAATTTGAGGATGCGATCACGAGCAAAATACCTGGCAATTAGAAATGAAACACTTGCAGCCATCTGAAAGAAATGGAAGAAATGAGTTTAAGCCTATGAGGTAATCACAACCAATTCTTCCGATCAGCTTGGATGGAGGGTTTTGGCGGGCTAAATCTATATCTTGATAAATCTTTGAGATTTATACAAGGAATAACAGAACAGGTGTCATATAAGACTCCAATCACCCATTATTTGTTTTTGGAAACATTCTATTTATGAAGATATAAATTAAGACATCAAAAGCCTTTCTATCTAAAACCCTCAATCCAAACTAACTCTAAAGGATCTTTAGACTAGAAACTCAGAAGCTTACTGTTCCACTGATAGAAACAATAATGGTTCCAGTGACAGAACCAAAAAGAAGGCCAGCAGTGAGGGTCAATGGGATGGCCGGTATTGCAAGGATCTAAACAAAAAATGCAAGGAAACGATAGGATTAGCCGAATTATAGGAGCTTAAGATCAAATGTAACAATTACCATTAGTATCCCTGTAATGCCCTTGATGCGGGCCTAACCGAAAGAATCTTGGTTGGGTTTAATTTGGACTTAGGGATTCCCCTTCCGCAACAACCCGCTCAATTTGGCTGGACCAGCTTGGGTGGGGTGGGGTGTAACTATCTTTTCATCGGGTTATGAATATAACAACTACTCAACTTTCCACAAATCACTGTTATTCTTCTCGTGACAAGTATTTACAAGTATTTACTTCAAGTATCTATCAGTTGGTTTTGCGTGAAAGAAGCATATAATTATGCATCAATAAAGTTTTGTCTTTTCACAAAGATAAATCTAGTAAAAGAACCTTTAAGCCATCTTGTAAACATATACTACCTCTGTCCCTTAAAACTTTGCCAAGTTTGACTGGCACGGGGATTAATAAAATAAAATTGTGTGGTAGAGATTTGTGTAGAGGAGAGAGAATTAACTAGAACCACAAATTCATTACTTAAAAGAGAAAGTGGCAAAGTTAGTGGGATGGCCAAAAAAGGAAAGTTGACAAAGTTTCAAGGGACAGAGGGAGTAATAAAAGAGTAAATCTTACTTCCAATGCAGCATAAAACACAACAAAGAGTGCATATCCAGCTGGCCCGTGATCTGCGATGTGCCAAGCCATAGAAAAGCTCAAGTGAAAAACTTCAAAAAAAGGTGAAAAGCTGAGCAATCAACCCAAGTATTTTCAAAGTTTTCATACAAAATTCTCAAGAAACAAATTATGGTTGAATCAGCCGATTTATCAAGGGACTTACAGCTATTCCCAAGATCACTTCACATGACAAAAGAGGTAGCCTTATTTCAAAGCTCTTATTGACAAATTAAACCCTTTTGGGATCATTTGTAAAGTTGTAATCTCATGGCGGGGCCGAGGGGGTCGTGATGAAAATTAATGTTAAAATATGTAATGACACATTGAGAAGTAAAGGGAAACACGGTGCACGAAGGCATCTCCGCAAGGCAAGGATCCAGGGAAGGGTCCCAACACAAGGGTGTATAAGGGGTACGCATTCCCTAATCAAATTTTGACAAGAGGCCGCTCTCAAGACTTGAACCTATGACCTTTGGTCAGTCACGCAGCAACACCTTAACCGGTGCGTCAACCCGCTAACAATAATCCCGACTATTGATTATTTTTGTATAATCCCAACTATATGGACCCTCCGCCAATAATGGTCCATGACCAGATATTAAGAGTAAAAATTAAGAGTGAAAATTAAAATATGGGATTATTTATAGGGATTACCTGCTATATCTCTTCTCATCCACTTTGGAAAATATAGAAATTTATTTATAGTCGGTCACGCCGGACCATTATTGGCGGAAGGTCTCTAAAGTTGGGATTATTTTGAGATAATCGATAGTTGGGATTATTATGAGCGAACCGCCAATAGTTGGGATTATTCTTATCAATTTTTCCTAATTTAAGGGATTGGTCATTTATATTGATGCACTTACTTTATTTACGGATTACGATAGTATAATTTATTATAAATAAAGGTCCTGACACTAGAGAAGGGATCATGCCTAGAGTTATTATACGAAGTTATAAACTTAGAATAGTTGGGCAGATATTCATCTCTGTTAGAGGTTTCCTTCTAAGTTTACTTTGTCTTTTTCATCCTTTAGCATTTCTAGAATAAAGAATAAATATCTATTATGGAGATTTACTCCTGCTCCAGTCACATTACTCTGAAGTTGGTCCGACCTGTGGCTTAACGATGCAAACAACTCGCATGGATGAACGAGTTGAAGCATTAGAGAAGAGTCAGGATGCATTCCGCAGGGAAGTCAATAAGCAATTCATCGGTATTGAGGAATTCCTAGCCTACTTAATAGGGTTACTGAATCATTGGTCACCATCCAAAGGGCAGTGCAACTCCAACACTGTCATTCAAGATGCTTCTGCCATTGATTCATCAAAGGCGAAACCCAAAGAAACCACTTCCCATCTCTAGATGAAGAGATCCCTATTAAAATACCAAGATTCTCTGGTATTGATCCCATGGAACATGAGTTGCTATTTTCAACGACATTCATGCATGTACGCAGATCAACCACATCACTTGGAATGTGAGTTGCTATTTTTAGAGACATGATGACTCATGGGCAGTGACAACAATGCCAAGGATATTAAAAGTAACTGGCCATCAGAAACGTGACAGAGTTTAGCTGATGGGAGAACACAATTCGGACCACCTAAACAGTCTCCCTCATTCCACCCAAAGCCCAAACCCGATAAATCCACCACACCGCAGCCAGAAAACCATCCATTGGTGCATACCACTTTATCACATGGTCAACCACAACATTTGACACAATTACTAATAAAGTTGTTGAAAAAGTAAAAGTTGTGGTTGAGATTTGAGTATAATAAAGTGAAATGTTGTGGACCACATATTTCCTTCCAAAAAAGGAAATGTGACACTTATTTTGGGACAACCCAAAAAGGAGAGTAGGATGGGTAAAATACTAAAATGGGACGGAAGGATTAGTTTTGGAAAAAACCCAATTTAAAGTGGCTCTAGTGGTAGATAACCGCGAGGATTTAAATGAGATTCTCAGGCAGCTCTGTTATGATTTAAAGTGGGCTCAGCAGTGCATGACTAAAGTTGCCAATGCGAAATTCACGACTTGGAATTTCATGTAGGTGAAAAAGTCCTCCTTAAGCTACATCTACACACGCAGACCACAGTTCAGAAACGAATCAACCAAAAACTAGCCCCAAGATATTTTGATCCTTTTGTTATCATCCACAAATTAAGTGCAATTGCTTACAAGCTTGCACTTCCTCCATCGGCTAAAGTTCACCAGGTTTTTCATGTCTCCCAACTAAAACGAGTTACGAGAGAACATCCGGTTATAGTACAGGTTCCTGAGGCGCCTTGCATCTCTGGAAAAAACTGCATCGATACCCAAACTAGCCTTTCTAAACCTTTGTATTAATCCAGTTCTTCTATCATTTTTAACCATTAAATTGACGGAATGCTTATGATATTGTCATATAAATGCCACAAGTGTATAGCAATTTATACTTAAGACATTGACTACTTAAAAAAATCCACCTTAAGAAAAAGACCAAAGAATTTTTTATGGTGGAAGCAACTCCACCTGCTATGCATTTTCTTACAAACACTTCATCTAATAATAATAATAACAATAATAATAATCCTTGTTTTATTATTTAATTTTGTTTGCGTGTCTCCATATAATCAAGATGTTTGATTCTATCATATGAAAATAAATAGGGAAAAGTACGGAAAATGTACTTGTGGTTGGACCCGTTTTCAGATAGGGTCATGTGTTTCATCCTTTATCAAAGTGATTCATGTGTTTGAATTCCGTTATCACAGGAGCGTAACGCCGTTAAAAACGTCTGAAAAAACCCGCTAAAAGTAACTCCAATTTTCAAAAGTGCCCGGAAAATTAAAATAAAAATATCGGAAGGTGCGCCTCAATAAGACGACCGCTAGGCCATCTTTCTTTTTTGTTTTTTGCCACCCTTGTCACCGGAAAGTCCACCAAAAAAGTGATATTAGCGAAATCATTTTTAAAAAATAATTGAAACAGATTTGAAAAATCCAGAGGCGAAGGTGGTTTGGAGGTCATCTTGACGAGGCGCACCTTTTGGTATTTTTCTTTTAATTTTCCGGGCACTTTTGAAAATCGGAGTTACATTTAACGGTCTTTTTCAGACGTTTTTAACGGTGTGACCCTCTTGCGATAATAGAATTCAAACACATGAACCACTTTGATAAAGAATGAAACACATGACCCTATCTTAAAACAGGCCCAACCACAAGTACTTTTTCCGTACTTTCCCCAAATAAATATGTGATACATATATTATTTTTTAATCCAAATAACTAAAGCCCAACCACATGTGAAACCAAATACTTGCTTTAGAATGGATGGAGACTGATTTACTTAAACTTTTTGAAAGAAACTCATCTGCTAAACAACCCCAGTTAAATAAATGTTAATAAGATCATTGTTTCTAGGCTCTGTATGGCTCTTCTTTTCACCAAGAAACATAACTTGCTTTTATGCAATTTGCCCTAATTGTAAATTAAGTTAATGATTGGTCTTATAACACTTTTTAGACACTGAATTACTTTGCAAATGAGTTTCTCTACAAAAGACTTTGATCTCTTTCTTGCATTTTTTAAACATGATTGATGAATTAAATATAAGTTGCTAGCTACGTGGTTGTTCACATGGCAATATGTTTCATGTTTCACCTACCGTCAATGTAACAACAAAAACTGACAGGACTAGATTGATGTGGGCTAAATAGAATAAGAATTTAAATGATAGATTTATTAGTTTGAGGACCAAAATGATATGGTATGATAGTTTAAGGACCACTTACACTTTTTACCCTGTAATAAACTTAGAATAGTTAGGTAGAGATTCATCTTTGTTGGAGACTGCCTTCTAATTATACCTTGTCCTTGTCATCCTTTATCATTTCAGAAGGGAAAATCACATTTTTGATCCCTCTATTAGTTACCATATTGAAATGTCAGACCGTGTTTTTGAGATTATTAATGTCATCCCCAGTGAATTCATTGGTAGACTAGAATTGGAGATGGATTATAAACGGCGGAGATGACATTTACAGCACATTTGTCAATTCGGTGGTGACGTTTACAATCTAAAAATGGGTCTAAATTTCAATATGATGACTAATTGAGGGACCAAAAGTGTGATTTTCCCTTTCAAGAATCAAGAATGTTTATAATTGTAAAGACTTTATTATTGAAGCATTACCCTACCAATTTCAAAGGTAAAAAAATTAAAAAATTCCAGTTGTTAGGCTATATCAAATTCACTTTCTTCGTGTCCATATATGACTGAATAAGTCCCAACTCCCAAGTATTGTATCAAGAACTTAAATCCTTGAATTATTTATAATTGGACCCTCCATCTACATGGTGCCATGGAGTAATGACCAATTGGGGATTTCGGGTAACAAATATAAATACCAAGGACACACAAACGCAGTGACAGTGTGACGCAGATGTACAAAATCACACATGAATTGGGATTGGATGTGCCGAATATTACTTGTCTGAATATACCTTCAATGAAGACAGACAATTGGTTCAGGAAGGTATTGATCTGATCTTTGTAGAGATAACTCGCAATCCCAAGCCCACCAACCATACCCACAAGTAGAAGACCAGCCAAAATGGCACCTTTAACGGCAGTGTCCCCATCCAAGCTCTTACCATCACTACTATCAGCAATATTATCCTCTCCTTTTGGTCCGAAATTTAAAAGGGTCCTGAACTTCTCGGGGGCTGTGGAGGGAGCCTTGGAAAAGGTCTCATGCTTCTTGGTTTCCTTGAGAGACGAACACGGTTTCAATAACTGGAACTTCCCACACTTGAAGCTACTCAGAAACGCACAAAAAGAAGTAGGGTGTAAAGATTGAAACTTTGGGTTATGTAGAAGATGAGTGATAGGATACGAAAGGGTTGGGCATAGGGACATTGATCTACTCAAACAGATGGTGGGCATTGCTAGTTGCAAGTAATGAAAGGAGATGGTGTTTTCTAAGCTCTTTCCTCCATCAAGAGAAAAAAGTGTTTGGTAGTTAGGTTAGTCGTTTAAAAAAAAGGGGGATTTGATGATTACTCGTATACATTTAGGCTTTGTTTGTTATTGCCTATTCGGGTTTAAGGGGTGTTTTTACTTGTACTCTAATTTGCTGGTCTGGTCTGGTCTGAACTGGTCTGGTCTCGTAAGGTCTGGTTTCTTTGTATTTTTATAACTATCCAAGTCTGGTCTGTTCTGATCTGGTTTGAACTGGTCTGATCTGGTCTGGACTGGTCTGGTCTGGTCTGGGGCAAATTACAGTCTAAGTAAAAACATCCTAATTAATGCACCAAATGTCAGTGATATAGAAATTCAGTGTATTAATCCCCTGTAATTTAAAAATGCGTCAAACTTCATTGTTTTAATTAATCATGCGCAAAAACCCATTTATGAATAAATTTATGATTTGAAAATCACTTTTTGTAATATTATGACTGAATATGCAATTAAATATGTCTAAATCTGTGAATCATAGAAAAAGTGTTAATCATTTTTCTTTTATTTGACAATTAAATTTGTTAATAGAAGAGATTTTGTGCACGATTAATTAAAACACAAGAGGATTTGACGCATTTTTTAAATCACATGGGACTAATGCGCCGAATTTCTATATCACAAGGGTGTTTGATGCATTAAACTCTTGCTATTGCTTAACTTTTTTTTATCGAAAGGTGCTTATATCATTAAAATAGCATTCAGCAGGGGTACAAGAACATAAAAGGACCACATTTAACCATCCGCCCTTGGTCGAGACTCTGAGTTAATCATTTTTGGGAAAACAATATAACTCGCTAGACCTAACTTGAGCAAATTAAAGCCAACGACGATTACCGTAGATCTCTCAACCCTCAAACCTAATGCAAGAGTTTTACAGCAGAAGAAAGAGTAAAAACAAAACATAATAGTCTGACCATGGAGTAAAACGAAAATTAAATTGACAGAGCAATCGAATCCATGCTTCAAACATCATCATCGGCTGTGGCTTAGGAGGAGGACGGATCATCAACCTTTCATCTTGTAACACTCCCTGCAAACTCACCACCACAATTCCCCATAGGCATCTCCTTAATCCCTGTGGTTATAGCACGACTACACGAGTGAACCCGGAAATCATGCTTACCTCCCCAATCGAAACTAGTGGCACAAGCAAGGAGTCCATAACCCGAGTAAAAATCACGATCCAAATATGCTTTTGTCTGCTCACCTTCCAAAACGCCCGAGTCCACGAAGGCCCGTAGTTCCTTCTCAAAGCCCGCAACTTCACCCACAAAGAAAACTGTCTGCGGCCCGCAGCTTCACCAAGACAAGCAGATCCGCTGAGCAACTCCGACCGCAGCCTCACCGACGAGACACCAGACCCCCACCCGACCTTAGCTTGATGACAAACTGGTGATAACGAATCAAAGAAAGCAAAACCGATCTTCGATCGATAAAGATCGAAACCGGATAAACGACTTAGCGGCACAAACCTTAGGAGTAGACCATACTCTCAAAATCTGCTATTGCTTAACTTTTTACAAAGTGATTTTTGAAAAAGTGATTATGATAAAAGTTGTGAGTGTTTTAAAATAGAGGTGATTAAAGTGAAAAAGTTAAAGTTGGAATGTTTGATAAAAAAGTGATTGTGAGATTCTAATTTTCGGAATATACAAAAATATCCTTACCTTCATTAATCAACTCACCCTCCCCTGCGAGTCGGCGACACAACTTTCTCATATACACGCTCCTCCAAGATTATTTTCCAAATTTAAAGTTAAAATCAAAATATGCTTGTGATAATCCCTCAATTTGTTATCCATTGAGGTTTGTAATAAAAAAAATCAATTTTGCAATATCTCTTTTAAAGATGTTACTGATAGCTACGAAGAGAAAATCTCCCTGGATTCTTTATTAAAGCCATATAAGACATAGAGTATCAATTTTGCAATGCAGACATCACCAATGCCTTTTCGATGGGGAAAGAGAGCATTTTAGCTGGAACAACCTTCACGGCCCAACTTTTTGATGGGGATGTGCGACACAGAGACGGAGAAGACAGAGATATAGAGGGAGACTGCGACAAAGAGATATCTGGATATTTGAGAGGGGTAAAATTGGATATTAGGGGAAAGGGGATGCATTTAACTACCCTCAAACTTGTTTTTATTTATCAATAAACCAAAAAAGGAGACAGAAGCATGGTAGAAGGTGCTTACAACTTTTACCCAATAATCACTTTTATTTCTTTTCCAAACACTCAATAAACCCAGTTAGAAAAATAATTGGAAAAATTGACAAGAATAATCCCACCTTTCATTGATCTTCTCATAATAATCCCACCTTTAAATAATCCCAAAATAATCTAACCTTTGCACCTCATCTTCTTTCATTGGACCCTGACCAAGTTTTTTACCTTTTTTAAAAATCTTATATAAATAATCTCACATTTATAAGGATATAATTAATAAGTGAAAGGTGAGATTATTTGTATAATTTTCAAAGAAAGAGTAAAAAACATGGTTAGGGTCCAATGAAAGAAGGTAGGTGCAAATGTGAGATTATTTTGGAATTATTTAAAGGTGGGATTATTATGAGAAAACCAGTGAAATGTGAGATTATTCTTGTCAATTTTTCCAAAATAATTTTAATCTTGATTATATTGACAAGAGTTAAAAGCCAAAAAGTTATGGAGAAATGGAAACTAATAATCCAACCTTTTAGCGGTCTTCTTTTAATAGTCCCACCTTTTCGTTATTCATGAATAATCCAACCTTTGCACCTCATCTTCATTCACTGGTCCTTGACCGGTTGATGACATGCTATTCCGAGTTATTTTCTTATCTTTGTAAAATGTTATCTTTGTGAAAGGTGGAATTTATGGTATAATAGTTTGCAAAGATAAGAAAATAACTCGGAATAGCAGGTCATCTACCGGTCGGGGACCAATGAATGAAGATGATGTGCAAAGGTTGGATTATTCATGAATAACGCAAAGGTCGGACTATTAAAAGAAGACCGCTAAAAGGTTGGATTATTAGTTTCCATTTTCCCAAAAGTTATCTATCCCTCCTTTGTCAAACGCATTGTAAAAAGTTCACAGCCTTCAACTTATATTATCAATCGCGCCTAATATTGTGATCGCATTGAGACCTGTAAGAAGAAGAAATAAACAAAATGAATGGAGCAAGAATTGCCTCTGGATTGATTAGAGAAAGCTGTTGTAGGAAGCTCAGGCCAAACCGTTTTTCACCCAGAAATTGCTACTGCACTACGCCTTCTACCAATCTTCCTCCTCGGCCTCCTCCACGATTCCCTCATTCTTCAAAAAAGGTGCTTTCCCTGCGCTTTATTCTCTCCATCTACTTATTTATTCTTACGCGCGCATACATGTTCTTACTGAGTTACTTTCATTGTCTATTGATGAACTCATTGTACTCTTTATTTTTCAATTAACAATAAAAAGTTCACGGAAGTCGAGGAAACAAGGGCATGAACTGCATTTTTCTGATAATAGGAGTGAATTTGAACTTTGGTATCGGTAATATGATAATTTTTTTTATCTTGATGGGGGCATAAGTCTGTTTTGTCCACATAGTCGTGGTGTGGGACTTGGAGGCTGACAGAGGGGAGAGTTAAACCTAGGACAACCATATGAGTAATACAACTGATGTTCATCCTTATGCCGGGAAGAAGGTTCTATGCATTGTGCGCAGGAAGATGGAGGGCATTGTAGGTTTTTGACAAAAAATGTGAAGGGATTTGTAGTCTCTAAAAGAGCTAGAAAGGGTAAAACTTGATTCAATTTGTCTGATATAGTTATAGTTTGAAAAGAAACCATGTTTAGGTTTGTATCACCTATGGATTTAAAATATGCCATGGGCTTGTCCCCGTAAACCGGTGACTAGGATGCGTGACATAAATTCTATCCCATCTGTTTTGCTAAGGCTTACCACATAAGTTGATCTGCTTTTATAAAAATCAGGTACTTTTTATAGTTAAATTGATGCTTGGTCTTTCTGTTTAAATTGCACCACACAACTTGTGTTTCAGAACTTGTTTCTCTCATTTATTATTCCAATATTCCCTAAAGAAACCTGAGTTCTTCCTCACAAAAAGTGAGGATTTCTTTCACTACATATCATTCAACACATGCTCTAGTAGGCATTTTTCTTCTTCTGTGCAATTTGCATGTATTCATGTGTTCATCTTCATAAACTGTAGGGAATGTTGTTTACCGGAGCTACCATTGGTCTAGTAATAGCAGGAGGAGCTTATGCTAGTACAGTGGATGAAGAAACTTTCTGGTATTAGATTTGAATGATCAAATGAATAATTTCTTACAACACTACTTTGCAAATATCTGTATGATGATTGATGAAGCAGAAGATGCGGAGTAGATGTAACTTATCTTGCAAACATGTATTTGTGCAGTGGCTGGCTATTCTCGGGAACAAAACTTGTAAATCCCTTTTTTGCACTTCTGGATCCTGAGGTAGCCCACAGACTGGCTGTTTCAGCTGCTGCTCGGGGGTGGATCCCTGTAGAGAAAAGAGAAGACCCCATTGTATTAGGCCTTGAAGTTTGGGGGAGGAGGTTCTCAAATCCTCTAGGCCTTGCTGCTGGTTTTGACAAGAATGCCGAGGCTGTTGAAGGTTTACTTGGGTTAGGCTTTGGCTTCGTGGAGGTTGGCTCAGTCACACCCATTCCTCAGGAAGGCAATCCAAGGCCTCGTATCTTCAGATTGAGGGAGAACGGGTAAATATGATATAAAAAGTACTACCTCCATCCCGCTAACATTGGGACATGAGGATGTGATGCGGTTATTAAGAAAAGTGGGTTTATGTGGTTGAATTGATGCGGTTATTTAGTATAATAAGAGTCTTATTAAATAATTTTAATTGAATTGATAAAGCAAGAATAAAATAAGAATGATTTAGAACCACATGAATTTTACCAAATTTAGTATGAGACAATCTTAGTGGGACGGACCGGAAAGGAAAGATGAGACAATCTTAGCGGGAATGAGGGTGTAAATATTTAAAAATTGTACTTCTGTGCACAGTTAACTTCTTTTACATATATGAACATGTGTTTTTATTTCCATCATTTCCACTGGAGCCAAAACTCATTATTTTTTGGCTTGAGAATATGATGGAATAAAACAAAATGACTCACTAAACTGTCTGCGTTTCTTTGTTATGAAGCAATAGTCAGTTCATGCAATTTTCGACGCGATTTTCGTCACGGGTCATCCAAAAACAGTCTCTTTGTGCTTTAGTTTAGGAGTAAGGCTGCATATATCTGACCCCCCCTACTCCACCTTAGGTGGGAGCCTTTGCGGCACTGGGGTAATGTTGTTGTTATTGTATATGAACACGCGTTTTGTATATAATACTGATCTTAATGTGCTTGAGTGGTTTTCTTTACAGTGCTATAATAAATAGGTGCGGCTTCAATAGTGAAGGAATTGTGGCTGTAGCGAAGCGGTTAGGTGCTCAGCATGGTAAGAGAAAGTTGGAAACTTCCAGCACTTCGTCTCCAGCAAGGGATGAAATCAAACAGGGAGGGAAAGCCGGTCCTGGAATTCTTGGGGTTAATCTGGGAAAGAATAAGACGACAGAAGATGCTGCTGCTGATTATGTTCAAGGAGTTCATACATTATCTCAATTTGCGGACTATCTCGTAGGTTTCTAACAAATACTCCCTCCGTCCCCATAAGTTTGTCCCGTTTTACCTTTTTCGTCCGTCCCACTAAGTTTGTCTCATACCATATTTGGTAATATATGAGTGGTTAGAATTCATTCTTACTTTATTCACACTTTATCAATTTAATATCAACCACACAATTCTACTTTTTCTTAAAAACCACACCACACCCCTTTGTCCCAAACTTAGGGGGACGGAGGTAGTACAAATTTTCCTTTTCATTTTCTTCGTCTTCTATTACAATTATGTTTGGATCTGAGTAAGTGCTAGGTAAAGGAAACAAGATGCTAAGGAAAGTTATTTTCTTATGTTTGGATTTACATTGGGAAATGCAATGAAAAATGTTTTTATTAAACCGTTTACATATGTTTAGATTTCTTAGCATTTTATATATAATTAAAATAGATATATTAAAAAAAGACATGGAAGAAATACAAGAATGAAACATCCAAGGCTTAGTCCCAAAAGAATACAATGAAAAATGTTTTTTTAAACCGTTTACATATGTTTAGATTTCTTAGCATTTTATATATAATTAAAATAAATATATTAAAAAAAGAGTTGGAAGAAATACAAGAACAAAACATCTAAGGCTTAGTCCCAAAAGATTTTGGGGACTAAGGCTTGGAAGAAATATTACAAATAAATTCATGCAGTATGAAAAATGTTTATTTTCCTCAACATTTTACTCATTCCTAAATTCTCATTTCCTCCCTATTTTCTTTCCCTAGCATTTGCCACAATACATACGAACCCTATTATACATGAGCAATGATAGGTGTAGAGACAGAGCTAGGGAAAGTCTTAGGAAAATCTAAAATCACCAACATCCCCTCAAAATGAATAACTAAAAATGCCTCAAACGCACTCACTTAATGGGCATTCTTGCCAGAAAATATCCCATTTTAACCGTGTTTGACCCCCTCTCAACCCCTATCATCATTGACCATACACCCTCACAGATACATCTCGGGTGCAACTGATTTCTTTTCTCTCCTATACCTATGCTGATTTTGGAGTATTTATATCTTTACATGTTGGGATTGTGTTGTCTTTTTAGATTGTTCAATCTTACACAGACACAAACCCACACATTCTTCATGCTTTCTTTTGGTGGTTTAGGTGGTTAACATCTCTTCACCAAACACTCCTGGACTGCGCCAACTCCAGGGAAGAAAACAGTTAAAAGACCTTGTGAAGAAGGTTTGATGGCTTTATCGATGTTTTCTCTCTGCAATCTTGTGTGGTGGTGGCTTCACAAACTTCCTAATAAAGTTGGATCAATTATATCTGCCTTTAATTTATTAGGTACAAGCAGCACGAGATGAAATGCAGTGGGGTGAAGAAGGTCCACCTCCGCTGCTTGTAAAAATTGCTCCAGACCTGTCTAAGCAAGATCTTGAAGATATTGCAGCAGTACGCCCATGTTTATTGTTGACATGATTTCTTTTGTGATTTGTTTGATTATAATTTTGTTTCTTATGTATTTGCAGGTTGCTATTGCTCTTCGTGTGGATGGATTGGTACACTTCCCTGGACAATTTATGCCGCCCTTATAACTTTGAATATTATGCATTTGCCTTCATTTTCCCTTTGAGCACATCCTGTTGCTAGAAAGTAGAGACTGAGGTAGACTATTAAGGTTATTTTTCATGTAGTTATGAGGTGACTTAATGGTTCTGAGATATTAGGCAGGAGATAATTTAGCAAACAATTTATATTGTTTTCAACAAAGTGGTAGACAATTGGAGTTTTTTATGACTTCATGTGAAAAGTAATTGCCCCAAACGGGAGTAAAACATTGTAAAAGTGCCAAATAGGAGTACATGTTCTAAATTCCAATAATAAAGGTTCCAATTACTTTTCTACCCCTCAGGGTTTACCAATCCCTTTTAGGGTTTAGGATTTACCGATCCCACTTAAGGTTTAGTGTTTAGTGGTGGCGGCTGGTGATTTTTTGGCAACTCTCAAGCAGCAGCTGCCAGCAGGTGGCAGCGGTCGAGTGGTGGCTGCTTTTGGAGGTGGAAGTTGTACACTAAATGGGCATTTTTTCCCACTCACGTCTTTTTCTCGTACTTTGAGAATTTAAAACATATACTTCTATTTATGCACTTTCGCATTGTTTAGGCCTACTTTGGGAATTAATTTTGTATGTGAAACCCATAGGGAACAACATATGTTACTGATGACACATCGTTCAATTATACATCCAACACATACCTCTGAAAACAGTTATACATTCCTATCTTAGATGAGATTAGTGAGTTGGGAAGTGTTTTTTCTTCTTTTCAATTTGTGTTTGTGCGTCGCGAGGCAAACCAGGGGGCTCACTGCTGTGCAAAGTATGCAGTGATTAACGGTGAGTCTGTTACCTGGGATGCTGAGCCACCAGCTTGCTTAGTTCACAGCCTGAGGGCTGATTGTAATTATGTCTTTGGTGATTAATAAAACTTGTGGTTTCTTAAAAAAAAACAGTTATACATTGTTCAATAGTCTGTGTTAAGAAATGACTTTTCAAGAGAAACTGTGAAGGGCGGGGGGATATCTTTAGGGTTTATTTGGATCAGATTGGAGGGGCTTGAAAGGGAAGGATTTGGGCGTCTCTGTCCTTGATATGTATTTGAGATTTTATGGAAGTTAAAGATTTACATAATACTACCTCCGTCCCGCTAAGTTTGGGACAATTCGGTTTACGATGCTTGACCGACGATAAAGCGAACAAATCCCTGTCTGCACTCAAATTATTTTAGGAAAAAAATACATATTCAAAAACTACATTAAAAGCTTTACAAAGTCGCAAAAATGAGAATCAAATTTGATAAAATTTTGATATATAAAGTGAGAGATTAAGAGTGATTTTTGTTGACCAAGTGAATGGTGTCCGGGACAATCTTAGCGGGACGGAGGGAGTATGTGATAGTATACAATTCACCTTTTATGCCTTGGTGGGCAACCCATCTAACCCCTACAAAACACTTCATCCAAACAAACCATTAGGATCCTAGGAAGAGTTGTGCACATATGTGAGAAGAGAGAAGATATCAAAATCTTTCACTTCCTGTTTCTCTTTGAAAGGCACATAGCAAATCTGGAAGAATTAATCTCAATACCAAAAGTTTCAAGTTGTGGAGTTTGTCGTTTCAAATCTTTCACTTCCTGTTTCAAGTTTCAAATCTGGCTTCAGTTGTCAAATCTGTCGTTTTATCATGACATGGTGTAAATGGGTCTGCACTAAATAATAGTGTACATATTGTATTTTCTGACTTCAGTTTTCAAGCCCATAGTTCTATCTTGAGTCCTTGACATGGTGCAAATGAATTTACACCAAATAATAGTGTTAAGTATTTCACATTAGTGATACTTAACTCAGCAATTCGCTTAATCGATTGGAAAGTTTTTCCTAATTGATGACCCTCTAGCTAAGGTGGTTAAACTCGAGATCCTAGCACAAATCAGGAAGGGTCTGAGAGATCATAACTTGGACTGTAAGATCCTAGAATCAAAGCTACCATGGAATATTTTAATATATCTATATGATTGCTTAAATTTAAAACTTAAATTAAATCCCACATAATAATTAATATTAATCACATAATGTCAAAAACCAGAGGTAAGTCTAACAGGAGGAAATAGAGGAAATGCTTACGAGAAATTTCTCTCCTAAATGAAGAGGCTGAGAACAAATTGGAGAGGAGATGCATACAAGAAAGGCTGATCAGCTTATGAATTAGAAATTGTAAACGAGATAGACTTTTATAACAATAAGGATTCAAGAATCCTGAATCCATGAATAACAATGCATTATTAGAATTTTGAAGCGCTTGGGCTCTAGAATCGCCATCGCTTCATGTACCAGATTCTTTCGCAGACCAACTATGCTGCTGCACTGTTGTTGCCCTCTCTCAGATTGACTCGGTGTGCTGATTCTGCAATCTTGTGACCAGTCTTTTTCCTATCTAACCTACGAGGCTACGACCTAGATCATCCATAGCTGTGTTACTCGTAAGATGGGACGATCTTATGATCCAATACTTAAGTATTGGATTATTAGCTTAATTTATCCCAAACTATCATCAAATTCACAAATCTATCCTATTCTTTCACTTTTATTAAAAAAAGACTCAAACTTCATCTTTTTCAACAATTATGCTTTTCTTTTTTCTTTTTTCAAAATTATACATTTTTATCAATACCAATAAGTTATAATCAATACAAGTTTGTAAACTTAAAACTAAAAGAAGTGAAAAAATATGAAACATAAATAAAATTTTCTTCTTAACTTTTACTAATTCATCTATTGAAAGTGTAATTGTTAGAAAAATTGAAGTTTGTCTTTTTATAATAAGTGAAAGTATAGGATAGATTTGTGAATTTGATGATAGTCGAGGATATACTTAGCTAATAATCCATCTTAACAACCTTGCCTCTATCTTCCCACAGCTAAGCTCAGCAAATTGTGTAATCGATGCTTAATCATGCATCTAGCGGCAAAACTTGCTCTCTGGCAGTTCTTCCGACAGCTATCTTTTGAACCAGAGCACGTTTCTTCAGTTAAGAACAACTCCTTGTGCACGAGGTACATAGACGACGTTGGGAACATAGGAAAGCAAATTGAGTGACTAGAGAGTTACTTCTCTCAAAGGGTTTAGTGTCGGGTTGGTTGTTGTGACACTAGATTAGTTCGGCGAAGCTGAAAACCTCGATTCATAAAAAAAGTATCCTTAGATCAGATGTCTATAGATTTACATTTAATCAATACTCCCTCCGTATTGAAATGTTTGCTACACTTTTCTTTTTGGGATGTATTGTAATTTTTGCTACACTTTTTCTTTTTGGTAAGTTTTCCTTTAAAAATCCTAAATTACCCGTATTTTTTCTACGTTTTATCTTCTCTTTCATTCTTTTCCACCTCCGCTCCAACTTTTTCTACACTATTTATTATCCCTTCTACTTTTCCCTTAAATTTTGTGCGAAACCCTATCGTAGCAAACATTTCAACATGGAGGGAGTATAGAAGTAATAAACCTCACCTCTTGTGTTACTCTTTGGGGTGATAGGGTGAGTTAAACCTGATTTTATATGGTATATAGCCTGTTCGGTTATGGTTTCTTTGTTTGTTTATTAGGCCTTCTATGGTTTAAGGACCATTTGGGTTCAATTTACTCCATTCATCCTCTCAAATTAAAAGACTCACCATTCTTTTCTTTTATTAAAAAAAGACTCAAACTTCATCTTTTATGTAAATCTGAACTTCTGTTTTTACATTGTATTCCATGTGTTCCATTTGTGGCAAATGAGTGCTAAAATCCTAAATTCATGGACTAAGAAGTTTATGTGAATGGTGCTTAATCATTCATTAATGGAGTCTAGAGCATTCTTTGTTTGTTGGCTTATTGTTTGGTTCATCTTTTGTTATGTATGATGACTAATCACGAATTGTAAGCAAAGGTTTTGTTGCATATGTGATATAAGTAATTCATGCTTTTTGTTATTTTTTAATTCCCAGTATGCACACACATGGATGGGCAATTAGTCTTCTGGTAATTTTTTTAATATCTGCAGATAATATCAAATACAACCATTCAAAGACCTGAAACTGTGAGTAAGAACCCCGTGGCTTCAGAATCTGGTGGCTTGAGTGGAAAGCCTCTTTATGAGCTATCAACAAATATTCTCAAAGATATGTATATTCTAACAAAGGTTTGCTGCTTGTTTCTAAACATCACTTCTTTTAACTTTACATTTAAGCAATTATCAACTGTTCTCTTAAGATGTTTTGAATGTTACTGTTTCCATATAGAATTCTAGATTTTCTAAAATAGTAATTTAGTCTTCTCACTTTTCTGTAAGCATGGTCCAATATGCCATTTATAACAGTGATATTTTTATTTACAAGGGAAGGATTCCTTTAATTGGCTGTGGAGGTGTCAGCAGGTAACTCGAGTTCCTGGTTTTTCATATATTATTTGTTGAATGGGAATTTATTTACTCATTTAAATCCTTGCTGGAAAATTCAATCAGTGGTGAAGACGCGTACAAGAAAATACGAGCTGGTGCCACTCTTGTGCAGCTCTATACAGCCTTTGCATATGGAGGTCCTGCACTTGTACCCAAGATAAAGGTATTCTACATTTGGGAGTATTGAATATGTGGAGATTTCCTATTTTTTTCTTTGCTTTTAATTTGGAAATGGCAGTAAATGAACCATGATATGTAGTTAACATGTGCAGAGTGAGGTTTCATACTTTCAATATGCCCAACCTTTAAGGATAGTGGTCAGTGCGGCTTTGTTTGGGAGTTTTTCTATCTTATTAACATTCGCAGATTGCGTACTGGTTAAAACCTTACTGCACGGCCAAACCGTGGTGCAGTTTGGGCCTTAAGTTGGCGCTTTTCATATTTCATTCTGAGCTTCCAAACCTTTGACTTTGAGCATTCAAATTTCTTCTTTTTTGCCTTTTTGACACAAACTTGACATCCAACAATAACAACATCCAAGCTTTATTTCCAAAAGAATTTGGGATCGGCTAACATGAATCGATCCATGGTATCAGAGCCAAAAAGAAAAAAAAAGAAAAAAAAAAGAGAAAAGAGGCAAATAAGCCCTCAAACTATTTGCAATTTTTGCAATCAGGCCCCTGATTCGGAAGATAAGAATACCTCAACCCCTGGTGCAGGTAAGAAGATAAGAACTTACCGGCACCAATAGGTAAAAAGGATCTTATTGCTTGATTTTCAAGGAGTTGAGGGGTGTATGCAAATCTTCCGATTCATGAGCCTTATTGCAAAATCGCAAATAGTTCGAGGGCTTATTTGCCCCCTTTTCTCAAAAAAAGAAGAAAAATAAAAAGATAAAGGTAAGAATTAAGATAAAAAGGATAAGATAAAGATAAATACGTAGTATAAAATAAAAGAACATAGAAAGATAAAAGATACAAACAACATAAAAACATAAGAAAGATAAAGAAGATAAAAGAAAGAGAGAGAAAAGAGATCAATCCTCCACACAAATATTCGCCCATCACTTTGCTCTCTCATCCAATCCCAGAAGAAGCGTATCACTCTTAATTCCTCTAGTCCACGTTTGTTTGTATCTTCCTCTCCCTATCCTCTTCGCCTCTTCTCGCCACCTCTCAACTCGCCTAACACGTGCGTAACTCGGTCTTGTACATGACCAAACCACCACAATCGAGACTCTTGCATCTTAACTTCTATATGTGCTACTCTCACCTTTTGTCTGATTATCTCATTCCTCAAGTTACTTTTTCTGGTATGTCTACACATTTAACGCAACATACACATCTATTGAAGGTGACATTGTTTCACTGTCGAACATTATGTCATACATTAATGTAGGCCTTATTGTTGTTTGATAAAATTTACCCTTCAGTCTAGTCGGCATACCTCAATCACATAGAAATCCTAGTGCACTCTTCCATTTCATGCACCCTGCTCTGATTTTACGGGATACATATCTATCTAGTTCACCATCCTTCCAAACTATGGAGGGATATCTTTGCCATATAACAAACTGGTATCTATCTAGTGCACCCTGCTCAAGTAACAGAACATATAACAAACTGGTATATCTTTGCCATCAAGGGTAATCCCACTGTTACCACTACTTGTATCTCCACCAATTTGCATTCCATATACTCGGTCTTGCTTCAACTCGGTACGAAACCCTTGGTCTCCAATTTTGCCGCCATACTTCTAACTTTTCTCTAACACTCGATTGTGTCTCATCAATCAATACAATATTGTCGACAAACATCATGCACCACGAAAGAGTGCTTCTCTTTCATTGGGGATGATAATTAATGCAATCAATCAATACACGTCACCAAATAATGGATGAACCGGTTTGTGACAGGCTAGAATGCTGGATTGAGTGTTTTTTGATAGTTTGAGGATTTAATTGAGTGTTTTTATAGTATAAGGGACCAATTGCCATTTTGCCTAAAGTACAAGGACCTATTTGACAGTTTTCCCCTTAAACATATTTAGTGCCAAACTCTAACATTGTGTCATCATATCTGGTCTTGCTAACAGTATCATTTTTAATATTTGAAGATCAAATATGGTGGATTTTTTAACTAAACGATCGAATATAAACTGATTCAAATATGGTCATTTTCAATTTTCAATCTTTACTAACAATGCCTCTATACACCCTTGGAGTGGGACTCCTCCCCGAACCTTCGTCTTACTGGATGCAAATGTGCACCACGCTGCCCTTTTTAAAATTTTTGTAATACTAAGTCCTAAAAATACGACCGATATGGCTTCTATTTTTTGGGATATCGGGATTATATTTTTTGGTAGATATATTTGCTTGTGGGTTATGATTTTTGCCTGAATATGTGAATAATGTTTTATATTTCTTACGTCATGCATGCCATCTTTGTAGGCTGAGCTTACCCAATGCTTGGAAAGGGATGGTTATAAGACAATCTATGAGGCAATTGGAGCAGATTGTCGATAGTTTTAAGATATACATATTGCTCTAAAACAGTGCAATAAAATCTAGTTGCTCAAAGTCTGTGTTGTGATTTTAATTTATCAGTTTCTTTTGAGGTATGCCCTAGTGGAAGAGGTTGATTTTGTGGTGCAAAATTTATAACTTCACATAAATAGCACTGTCCATTTGGTCAAGTTTTATGATCAAGGACTTTGATTTTGTAAATTCAAATGCTATATTTAATTTATTCTATCTGACTCGAACTAATCTTTATCATATGCCAACGATATAATGTGTTGGCATATGTTATAACTAGGGATGGATTGGGCGGGTCGGCCTGACCCGACCTCGGTAATGTTTAGGCCCGGCCCGGCCCGGCCCATTATTGTATAGGTCCGGTCCCGTCCCAGGGCCTGGCCCGGTGGCTATGAGGGCGGGCTTTGGGATCGATTTTTTTGGGCCCGACTGGAAGCTTCAGATGAAGTCTTTTTTACGAGAATATGAGATTTCTTATACGATGAAGTCTTTTTTTAATGATGAAGTCTTTAGACAAAGAATTTGTCTGCTTCCTTTTAGATATCTGAAGGTTTTTATTAATTACATATTACATATAGCAATTATATCCTCACACTAAAAGAATCTTTTACGTGAATGTAACTTTAATGTAGTACTATTTGAGTATTTGATCATGAAAATTGATATCATTTTTCGTTAATGAATATAGCCATATAGGACATTTGTCTTTTCATTTTTCGTTGTGTAGTTTGATATGTTTATGTTTCAATTATTAGCTACCACTTGATGTGAGACCTTGACCTTTTTACTGATTTAATTCTTCTTACTATCAAGGTAAAAATTGTCTACTAAAAATCTAAAGCATGCAACCTTTTTTTCTGCCACTGTCAATCATGTTATGTAGCTTGTTCAAGCCACCATCATCTTCATTCAAATCAGAATTTCACAAATTATATATTCTAACTATTTTTCTAAAGAAAGAGATCGAAAGACTAATTTACTAAATTCTAAATCCTAGAACGGCTATTATCTTAAAAGAAATTGACTACACCCATTATTAAATGAAATAAATGAGTAGTTCATCATTTTCATTTACCCCAGTGCCGCAAAGGCTCCCACCTACGGTGGGGTAAGGGGGGGTCGGATGTACGTAGTCTTACCCCTGTACTAAAGCACAAAGAGACTGTTTCTGGATGACCCGTAGTGAAAATCGCGTCCAAAATTGCATGGACTGACTGCTGCTTCATAACAAAGAAGCACAGACAGTTCAGTGAGCCATTTTGCTTTATTCCATCATATTCTCAAGCCAAAAAATAATGACTCTTTGACTCCATTGCAAATGATGGAAATGAAATAAATGTGTAGTTACTTTTGAAAAAAACAACTGAAATTTAATGATAAAATTAGACATTGAGCAATTTCTTTATTTTGTTTACGTAAAGATGGTTGAAAAGCCTAATTAGTTATAAACAAAATTGTCTCTTTTAATTGAAAAATATAGATTGAAAACATGTTGAGATAATTAGTTCAAAAATATGACATACTCAATAAACATTATTAACAAATGTTATAATCGAGTAAATAAATGATTTTCTATCAGCTGTGAATTTGTGATAACTCATGCACATTATAGTGTCAACTAGGGATGGACTCGGTTCGGCCTGCCCGGCTCGGAACCGGCCCAGTACTGTTTAGAACCGGCCTGGCCCGGGAAACCGGTTATGGTTCCGGTTCGGGCCTACGCCAGAGGGGTTAAGCGGTTCTGAGCCCGGGTCAAGCAAAAGGCAAACCGGCCCGGCCCGGTTCGGGCCTTGTTTTTTTTTTGGTTTTTTTTTTTGGGTTTGGACAGGGTTATTATTATTATTATTATTATTATTATTATTAATTATTATTATTATTATTATCTATTATTATTATTATCTATTGTACAAGATTATTATTATTATTATTATTATTATTATTATTATTATTATTATTATTATTATTATTATTATTATTATTATTATTACTATTTGACACTGTTTGGCACTGTTTTGATGTATGTAATTTGACAAATAAGGAAAGTTTTGAAGTGTGACGTTAATTTCGGAACTGCCCAAAAAGGAAAGTATGAAGTTTATTGCGGGACGGAGGGAGTATTATTATTATTATTATTATCGTTGTTGTTGTTGTTGTTGTTTTTGTTGTTGTTGTTGTGGTTGTTGTTATTATTATAAATTGTGGAGTGCGCTGTTTTGCACTGTTCAAACACTTTTTGGACACTATTTGACACTGTTTGGCACTGTTTTGATGTATGTAATTTGACAAATAAGGAAAGTTTTGAAGTGTGACGTTAATTTCGGAACTACCCAAAAAGGAAAGTATGAAGTTTATTGCGGGACGGAGGGAGTATTATTATTATTATTATTATTATTATTATTATTATTATTATTATTATTATTATTATTATTATTATTATTATTATTATTATTATTATTATTATTATTATTATTATTATTATTATTATTATTATTATTATTATTATTATTATTATTATTATTATTATTATTATTATTATTATTATTATTATTATTATTATTATTATTATTATTATTATTATTATTATTATTATTATTATTATTATTATTATTATTATTATCTATTATTATTATTATCTATTGTACAAGATTATTATTATTATTATTACTATTATTATTATTATTATTACTATTTGACACTTTTTGACACTGTTTTGATGTATGTAATTTGACAAATAAGGAAAGTTTTGAAGTGTGACGTTAATTTCGGAACTGCCCGAAAAGAAAAGTATGAAGTTTATTGCGGGACGGAGGGAGTATTATTATTATTATTGTTGTTGTTGTTGTGGTTGTTGTTATTATTATTATAAATTGTTGTTGTTGTTATTATTATAGAGAGAGAGTCCTATTTAGATGCACTTTGCAACATTCAAAATCCGTTGTTGACTTTTGAATAAGCATTAATAACATATTCTTATCTTAAGTTGTTCTATTAAGTCGGTCATATGATTTTGAATTTACAACATTAGTGATGCTAATTATTTTTGTTAACGAACCAATAAGAAATTGACATGTCAGCAATTTATAACTCAAATAAAACAATAGATTTTGATTACATGAGTAATGTATGACAATTTGAAATTGCTAACCCAAATAAATCCGTTTCAACAAGATGTCATATTTTTAAAACAACAGGGCATGTAAGTGTTAATAGGAAAATGATGTTTGTACTCTCTTTTATACTCACTTTTATACCCACTCATGTTTGTGAAGTTATTTTTTTGTTTGTGAATTCCTTCACAGACAAAATTTGTCTGTGAAGAAATTCAAAGACATATTTTTTCTGTGAAGCGACTGCACAGACAAAAAAATAGGTGGGTATAAGGTGGAAACAATTATGCATAACCAAAATTTAAAACCCGTATCCATGTCGTCTGCAATTACGGGAGTGTTTGCAATTGCTTCAACTTTAAAGAAGTGATTTTTTAAAGTGATTTTGGGAAAAGTGATTAATAGTAAAAGTTGGTAGTGTTTGAAGAAAAAGTGATTCTGAAAAAGTAAAAGTTGGTAGTGTTTGGTAAAAGAAGTACTTTTTGTGTAATAGAAAACGTGAAAAACAGTTTAAAGCACCCTTCCACCTGCTTCCAGCTTTTAGCTTTTAAGTGATTAATTTAAGCAGAAATTGTCATTTGAAAACACTCTTTTTAACTTTTTTAAGCCAAAAGTTGAAAAGAAACTTTTTTTTAATCAAATACAAACACTCCTTACGTACTTGTCATTATAGTGACAGACAGAAGAAGTGTCATTTGGGTAGACAAGTTGATGCTTTTTCAAAACCACTCGAGCGAAGTTTCGTATCAGGTTTCTTCTTCGCGGTCCTCTTATAGTGCTAGGTTTATCAGCTCGGCCACTTAACCGTAACAAGGCTAACAAATTCTGTAAACTCGCCATGGATGTTGAGGCCGCGGAGCTCCAGGACTGGGAAGTTCTCTTACCCGACCCGATTTCGGCTGATTCGGGTTTAGGTGATTCTGATGAGAGCCCAAAGGCTTTAGAAGAAATCGGAGCCGACTCTGTAGGTACTATACATGCCAATTACTTCTCTTTAGGTACTAGGGAGAGTTATATGGGCAGTGTTGCTGATGTCAATGTGAGCGAGGCGGGTTCCGAGGCCTCTGACAGTCCGAGTTGGATTGATCCCAGGTCGGAGGCCGGATACCCGAGGAAGGAATCCGGAGAGTCTTGGCCCGACTCGGGCAGTGACGGGTCGGAGGATCGGACGTTTGAGGGTAAAGGTGAAATGGGTGTTCTCCCGAAAGAACCGGTTCGAGAGGGTTTTGATGGGATCCAGGAGATAAGATGTGGGTGCGGGAAGAACGATTCTGGTGATGGATTGAAGATTGAGCAGTTTGAAGAGTCCCCCGGAATTGAAGGAGATGCAGATTTGGAAGCTGCGGGACAAAAGAACGAATCTGAAGCTGTGGAAAGTGCGTGGAAGAAGCCAGATGAAGTAAAGAGGAGTAGAAGTGTGGTGTGGTGGAAGGTACCTTTTGATTTTCTCAAGTATGGTGTTGTGTTCAGATCTAGTCCTATCTGGAACTTCTCGGTGGCTGCGGCTGCTGCTTTAGGCCTTGCTTTTTTGGGCCAAAGGTTGATGTATAAGATGATGTTGAATAAGAAGAAGAAGAAAGTCAAGAACTTGGAGCTGAATATCACAGTGGATGACAAGGTTCGTGCGAAGTTTTTTTGTTACCCAGTCTCCTGTGCTTAAATTTAATTTATCAAGCTTTAACATTTTAATTATTGAGCTCTAAGTATCTTATGAGGAGTACATATATAATAACTATATTGTTAGATTCCTACTTTCTTGCAGCTATACTTTAGAGACCCCCAATGCTTACATGTTTAGTCTAAATAACAGGAAGTGTCAAATAAATAACTGACTTTATAATACACATAATAGGAATTGGAGTGACTAGAATCACTAGATATTGAACTACAACATAACTTCCAATGCACAACTTTTTGGTGCCTGCCACAAGTAAAACTTCACAGGAGAGTTGGACCTCTTTTTATCTGGTCAGCAAGTGTAGAGGCCTTTCTACTCTCAAACATCTTCCTTCACCTCTTCACGGTGTGTAGTTTCTTTATTGCCATGTCAGCAAATTTTGATTATAGACTACAACAGTACAACCATTGGAAGGGAAAATGTTCAGTGATGTCTAATTTAAAGATGTGGTACACTTTACCTAGACTAGACATGTATGCATTGGAGATGCTCTTACTACGCGTTTTAATTTCGGTAGAAGTTGCCCATGAGAGTTGTGTATTCTGCCCTCCATTAGGTTATTGTCTATACTCCCCATATGCAGACCAATGTTACATTCAATAACCAACCAAGAAACGTTCTTTCCTGAAGGATTGTAACTGTTTTTTTTCCTGGTTGCTTTGAGAATGAAAAATAATCATTCCATAACAATGTATGTTTGTTAAACGATGTATAAAGTAGTTTTTCTTGATTGGGAGGATAAACAACACATATAGCTTTCTCTGGGAAAAAATAGTGCACTTTCCTCTCTTTGGGGATGCGTGCTGACTGGAGTTTTTTGGATTGTTTTTCTAAATGCTTCACAACACCCTTTTATTTAGGGGTGGGCATCTCCAGGTAGGGAAAATTGTTACCAATTTAAAACAAAACTATGTTTTGGTTCGGTTAAGTTTGAATTCATAATTTTTAGACATACTAAGGTCTTACTCAATTTTTTAGAGCCCGTGTAGTAACCCCTTGTTGGCTTATCAATCTTATCTGCCTACTTTTTCACCAATGGCCGAATTAGCTGAATTACTGAAGATGACTATTTTAGTTTTTTCCCATAAGTTTTAGATTATTTTATTTAGAAATAATATTTTAAATATAATCATTTCTTAATTCAAAAAATTCAGCCTTAGTTTCTGTAATTTCAGGAGATTCAGTCAATTTTAACAATACCAAATGGGTTCTTATTCGGGTTCTATTTTGTTCCATTTAGGTTCAGTTTAATACATTTGGAAAAATATCTTAAACCAAATCACTTATGGTCTGGTTTTGGCCCAGTTTTGTTCGGTTCGGTCTGGCGAAACTGAACCGAAATGCCCATCCCAGAACTTTTATCTCTGGACATTCTAGCTATGTTACGTTTTCCCTATTTTATTGTATTTATAATAATTTAATATAAGCTTGGGTTATGTGGTTAACCGTTATGCCTAACCATGGGAAGAACATGAGAAGTCTGAAATATGCATACTTTTCACCATTTGGTGGCATTGATTTAAATATTGTACGCTTGGTTTGACATGTCTGTAACTGCTCAGTGAAGCCTGACTGTATTTATAAACCTCTTTGGCATATACAGAAGGTGTCTCAGTTCATGAGCGGTGCCACACGTCTTAATGAAGCATTTTCCATGGTGAAGCGGGTCCCTGTGATCCGATCACAGTTGCCGGCAGCTGCAGTTATTCCATGGCCTATAATAGCTTTGGTATAGGATGTAAAAACGTTTCAGGGAAACATGGTTTATATAATTCTCTATGTTGTATTTTGTGCTTTTGTATAATATACACTCCTTATACTATGTACGTATACCCTACCCTACACATGAATCAACTTCAGTGTAAACGTCAGCAGACATGTGTACAGTTCGGATGCTACTCCGTATTTTATACTACTCACTATCTGCTCTTGTTGTCAACACAGGTTAGTGCTCCTACTAATTAGCTACTGTAATGAAGTGAAGTAGTAATAAAATCCCGATTCCCGTGCAAAATGTTTGTGGCATCTTACACTGTCCACCACCTTGGCTCACTATATTTCACAGTGCTCATCATATCACATCACTTGTGTAAACTTAATCAGCTCACATTAGAAAGAAAGATTCACAATGATTTTTTCTTCCCTTCTAACTCTAGAAGGCAACCAACGGAAGGTAAATGAGTTTCTTATCAAAATTTATGAAGACAAAAGATAAAATTTCATGGAGGGGATAGACCTTACCCCAAAAGTAAATGAGAAAAAACTTTTAAAGACATAAGGTAAACTAACACTGTCTAAAGACTCTAAACTGATAGCACCCTTGACATAAGGTAAACTGGATACAAGATTAAAAACCATTTGAGTAGAGGAAATACAATGACTGCTAAGTAAAGAGGTTGCCATATTGACTCTTGAAGAGCAAAAATAAAAAGAAAAGCCATTCTCTTGCGTCATAAGTTGAATGAGGGAGAGTAAGTGATGTGAGTTCTTGCCCGGGGGTCGTTATGATCTATTAAGAAGGAAGGAGGAAGACAAATAGTCAGTTGATAATAAAGTGAGAATGACCATGGCTAACTATCCACTACATAGATAGGTGGCTCGATTGTTTAGAGTGAACAGAGATAGCAGATAAAAATTGTCCAAGAAAATTCCTGATAATGGCCCGACTCGTATGACCGTTGGATTGTATGTTCAGTTTGGAGCCTCAGGATGACCTTTTCTAGATTGCAGTGGCAGGCTTATTTTCTTTAAGCTAGGGAGAGCATGATCTCTTCCATCAAGGACTGAATGAATTTGACAAGTTTGTGTCCTTTAACAGGAGAGGGTGGCTGATTTTAATTGAGAGCGTATATTTGAAGTGTCATATGCTGGAACAGGAGAGAATGGTTGATTTGGAGGGTCTCAAATCTTCATATGCAGCAAATAATGAGAAATTTCCATCAACAGAGGACCAAATAAAGAACCATTTTGGTCAATTTCTGTCAGTTCAGAGCATTGGCTGTGAATAGAGCATAGTCTCTTCCAAGTTCCAATTTATAGCAAGAAGCTTGGGTGACATGTTGTCACCCCTAGTGTATCTTCTATGCTAGAAAAAGGCCCACAGAGAGTTTGTGTCCTTGAACTTGTAGTTGGTTAGGAAGTCCCTCAATGCCAAAAGAGAGCATGCAGAACCATTAAGGAATATAAGTGGGTAGTCTGCAACTCTGCATAAGATAGGCAGCTGATGATTGGGCAGCCTCTAGCAACAAAACAAGGGGAAATAAAGCCACGGGAGAATAGGTCACGCTCCTGGAAGAGGCTTCTGACAAGAGCATAAAAAGATAAGGGCTTAGAGGGTTACCCGGTTTAACCCCTCAATATGGAAGAAGCCATGGGGGATGTCGTTGACCAGGATAGAGAGATGAGTTGCTTAGTTGCTTCCAAATTCTGCGTGATAAGCATGACTGCTGTAGTTTAGAAGCATATTTATATCGGAGTGCTTTGAGAAAAAACCAAAGACCAAGAGACTGTCGAAAGCCTTGGCCCATATTGAGATTGTTAACCACATCACATCCTCAAATCCTTGTATCCTAGGAGTGTATTAACAATTCCTTGACAAGAAGTATGTCACCGATAATATCCTAGAAGTATGAATGAAGGCTGCTTTCTCCTTAGAGACCAACTTAGGAAAACATTGAGTATTCTGTTACAGGATCTTAGTGCACACTTTGTTAATGAAGGTGATAAAAAAGTTGACCTGAAATCAGTGAAGTATTTAGGTGCAAATGTCTTAGGAATGAGAATCAATTGAGCGCTTGACATTGTTAGTGGAATGGAGGGTGCCTGCTGCCTAGGAAAGAAATCCTATGTTGCCAAAGTGAAACCTTTGTAAATAATTTCCCAACAAACCTTGAAGAATAGCAGTCCTTGTTTAGCTGCAAGATAGCACATTTGATTACCACTTCATCAGGTAATGCAGTGAGCATAAGGTTATCATTATCATGGTCAAGAAGTGCATTGGGATTATATTGTAAGAGTTTATCATGATTAAAAGTAGGTCTAGTTGAATAAAGTTGAGAGAAGTAGTCCACACTCCAAGATACAAATGGACACTTTTAAAAGAATGACATTAGGGTTTTAGGAGACTATTTATAGCAATGACAATTAGAACATTCAATTAAAACCGGTCCTTTTTTGTCCAAATCATAAAGTGATCACATTTTTGTCTTTTGAAATTCTTTTAATTGTCTAATTTGCATTCGTAATTTTAATTTGTTTACATTTCCCCCTTTTCAGAATCTTTTTTATTTTAGGTCATACATTTTTTTCTTTGCCACATGAAAACATTCACAGGAAGCTTCACGGCTCGAGGTCGATTCGTCAAAGAAGCTTGGACTTCCAAAAAAGATACCACTTGTGAATCATATTGACTTACTGTCTTCTTAAACTAAGTACACATTTTTGAAATTTAATTTATTTATCCAAAAATGGGTGTAGTTATTTTTTTAAGATATTATCCCTTCTTTCTTCCAAAAATAAGATCATATTATCTCTTCTAGGTTTTAGAAATTTTCAAATTAGTCTTTAAGAAAAGAGTTTAGAAGATTATGACATTCCGATTCTAATGAAGGCGATAGCGGAGAGCATAGGCTGCATATTGTGATTGACAATGATCAAATTATTTTTCATTAGATTGAGTTATTATATTGAATATATATGATCTAATTAAATAAAATAAGTGTTATAGAATGAATAAAAGTGGTATGATTTAGACATTTAAACAGTTTTTACCTAGAAGGTCGGATAAACAAAACATATAAAAAGATTCTCATCACATCAAAAAGTTGCTATAGTTGAAACATAAACATGTCAAATTATGCAATGAAAAATAAAAAGACAAACATCTCATATTCAGAAATGAAAAATGATCTCAATTTTCATGATAAAATAGTCTATATTAAAGTTACATCCATGCGTTAGAGAATTACTCCGTACATTTTATATATAGTCTAGCTTATTTATCTAGCTCTTTAAAATCACTTTTAGTGTCACGATATGATTGTTACATATTGTTATTTTCGCATTCTTATACGGAAATCAGAATAGAATTTGCACACCATTATTTAAAGGGATTGTGTCAACTTTTGAGGGTTCATCATTGCACACAGAATGGATATCTTCGAGGTGATAGTAATTGACTCTTGGTGTTGCAGATTTTCAATTTTGTCCTGTATAAGACTTTTAGGTTTCTGATTTTCATGTCAATAGTACTTCAAAGATTTGTGTTACTATACATGTCCGCGCATTCCAGGTTTTGTGGTCAGTAATATTTGTTTCAATTTCTTAGATATTTGATATAAAGGATGAATATATCTATCAATTAAAATATGACATTATATGTTATGTATATTTCTAATTAAGATAATTGAGTATGAAGAATGTCTATATAATTAATATGTTACTGGCAAGGTTATACATGTAAGCTTGATTTCTTGGTTATAGACTTATATATAGTATAATCCATATGATAATTTAAAAAAAAAATTGAGATTTCAAATATATGGATATTATCAAAATTGTATATATAGTGTAATCCATATGATAGTTTATGAAAATTTGAGATTTCAAATATAGTGATATTATTAAAGTTGTATGCGTGCAGTTTAAAAATCAAAAAATGAATACCATAGGCTAGACAATTCTAATATAGCTCAACAATTTCATTGAAAAGTTGTTGGCTTGGAGCTATTAAACACATACATCTTACCTTTATTTTGAAACATTTACTTATTGAATCGAATGAACTCATTGCATAAATTCATACATGAATAAAATTTATATTCACGATTTTGAAATGTTTTTAAGATTTGTTTTTCTCAATTAGATCGTTATCAAGGAATTAGTTTTTGACGTTTCATGTGTAATTTTTAAAGTCCCTTGTTACATTTTAGTACCAAATTAATCATGTGTCATCTCAATTTTCGGTAACAAATAAAAATTTACTCATGAATGTTTTTAAAATATGAACGATTAACTCCATAATAAGCTAATTTCATTTTGTATGTCTCACTTATGCTTTTATAGTAATTTTTTTTAGCAAAAAAGTGTTTTTTATTGAATAAAGATTTCGAGTACAATGCGAGAAAAAAAAAGAAAAAAAAAAACAGAGAACAGAAATTTAAAAAGTATAATTAGGCCCAAGGAAACGATTTAGATTGTGATCTAGTTCTCATGTTGTGCCACCGTTTATTCTTTTGAGATTTCCGATAAATCTTGAGTTGTGTATTCAGATTCTCTGTGGGCAGGCAGTTTTCTGCAGTAATGAATTGAGATTTATGGCAAATTCCTCTGTTGAACTTAGAGTCTCAAATGTCTTCCTGATTGGAAATAGAAAGTCGGCGGTCGCTTTCAGTTGCGTGCCCCATAAAGTCATCTGAGAAAAAAGAGTCATTTGAAGGATCAAAGCTGTCGGATGCGTCCGAGTAAGCTTGAACTTGTGATTGTAGGGGATTTATTTCTGGGAAGGGAATTTGTTGTCTCTTGGAGCCTATTTTTGATATCTCAAAATAGGCTCCTATGAACCGGAATCGCCGGATCTTCCCGCGCTAAGACCGGAAGACCCACAAAATTGCTGAAAATATCCAGAAAATGTGAAAGACATGATTTATGTCGACCCATGGGGATGTGGATGACGGTCCCCTGTTCTTTGGCAATTTTCAAAAAACTGTCCGATTTGAAGAATTCTGAAGAAATTGTGATGTCTCCAAATTTCTTTTGCTGCTTATAATTGACATTATCTGCACGTATGAGTTGTGAGATAAATTGGATAATTTTGAGGGCATAAGTGGAGTTGAAAGTAATCCTTCGCAGGCTGGATTTTTCAATTTAAAAAATGGAAATGTCATTTTCTTTGACTACGAATTTAAAGATTTTTTATGCAATACGGATCGAGTCAAACCCCTCTTCGCCGGTAAATGTGTATTTCTTTGAGTCTATAAAGGGGATGATAGCTGTGCATTCTTGAATTTTACTTGCTGGTGAATCATTTCTGCCGAACAAGTAAAGACTAATTTCCGCTGACTCATCTGTTAAATCTTTAAGAGAACATGACCTGT